CTGGGCCCGCAGCACCGCAAGCCCCGCGGCTGGACCTTCGGGATCCGGCACTCGGACTACCTGGTCCCTCTGGTGACCGACGTGGACAACTGACCCGCCGGGCGGGCGCGGCCCCACACTTGTTTGCTTAAAGTTTGCGAGCTCGCACCGCGTCCGCCTCTCTGTCTCTCTCTCTCTCTCTGCGCGCCCCGGGGCGAGGCCAGGGGCGGGGCCGAGTCCGAACTCCGAACCCAACGGGGCGGGGCCCGAGCGTCCGGAGAGGCCCAGCCCCGCGCCACGTCGGAACCTTGAGACCCCAAAGGGCGGGATGGGCGACGCTCGGGCGCTACAGACACCGAAGGGCCGCGACGGGCGGGACAGGCCAGTGGTCGCGGCCGCCCACGGCACCGGGCCCGAAAATCCCGCGTATCCGGGAGCATCTGCGGATAGGCCGGGACGCGGCGCGCAGGGGTTAGCGGGCGGAGGCGACTGCCGAGCCCCGCCCACCAGACGGCCCCACCTGCCCTCTGCCCTGGGGCGCCACCGCCCTGCCGCTGGCAGTGCACTGCTGTGCGCGAACCCCGCTGTGCGCGAAGCCCGCGGTCCGGACCCGTGGACGAGGCGGGGTATCCCGGGCTGGGATCCGGAGGAGGTGGGCGAGGGCAGCTGTCCTGAGCAGGTACGGGCCGGGCTCAGGTCGTGAGGCCGGAAAGCGGGAGCCAGACTCGGACAAGGGCGACACAGACACGGGACCCAGGGGTGGACACCAGGGAGACGCGGAAAGGGGTCGGAACAGGAGCACGTGGCTCAGACATCAACACCGCTGGCCGCAGGTCCCAGACGTGCCAGGCATCCCCGCAGGCCGGGAGCGATGGCGGCCTCGATGACCCGGGGAACCCGGGCCCCACGCAGGCCTGGTGACCTCTCCGGAGAAGGGACCCAGGGACTTCCCAACCTCTCGCTAGAGCCTAAGCAGCTTCCAGAGCTGATCCGCATGAAGCGAGATGGAGGCCGCCTGAGCGAAGCGGACATCAGGGGCTTCGTGGCTGCTGTGGTGAACGGGAGCGCGCAGGGCACACAGATCGGTGGGTGGGGAGGGTTGGGTGCCCCGATCCCGGCCGGGAGGTCAGCAGAGACTGTCGGTCCCTGGGGGTGATACAGTGCCCCACCGCTGTGGGCTACCACCCTCACGCATACCCCCATATACCAGGGGCCATGCTGATGGCCATCCGACTTCGGGGCATGGATCTGGAGGAGACCTCGGTGCTGACCCAGGCCCTGGCCCAGTCAGGGCAGCAGCTGGAGTGGCCAGAGGCCTGGCACCAGCAGCTTGTGGACAAGCATTCCACAGGGGGTGTGGGTGACAAGGTCAGCCTGGTCCTGGCACCTGCCCTGGCTGCATGTGGCTGCAAGGTTAGAAACCACCCCCTTTCCAGACCAGAGCCTATGACCCTAGTCAGCAACCAGGCCATCCACAGGTAGCTCCCAACCTCAAGCCTGGTCCAAAGACCCCAAGCCAGGACGGAGGCTTCTCCCCAGCACAGAGCTTGTGGCCCCTCTGGTTCCAGACCAGGCCCCCTTGGAGCAGGCAAAAGATCCACTGATGGAATGCAGACCCTTTCCCCTTAGGTCCCCAGACAGCTCCCCCAAGGGATAAGTAAGGACTTCTCTCCCTCTGCCCCTACCCTTGTTTCCCCCCAGGGATGGGTACCAACCTCCTCCCCTACTGACACTTCTCAACCAAGAAAACTTCCTTCCCATTCCCTCACTGGCTGGGAACCCCTATAGCTGCTTAAATACTTTCTAAATTCAGCTGAAGTCCTATCCAGGGAAGGTGAGGGGATGCTTGGGGGTGTGGGGGAGAGGTACTGTGCAGGGTACTCAGCATCCCTGCCCACCAGGTGCCAATGATCAGCGGACGTGGTCTGGGGCATACAGGAGGCACCTTGGATAAGCTGGAGTCTATTCCTGGATTCAATGTCATCCAGAGCCCAGAGCAGGTATGGGGGTGGGGTGGGGGGGTGCTGATGAGTCTTTGATCCGGGTTGATGATGAAGACACGACACTGGCCAGGATCACTAAAGGATCACTGGTGGATCATTTGGGTCACTATTGAGGTTATCCCTCAAAGCTGCTCATGTCATTGGACCTGGGTCAAACTCATCAGTGGAACTCATCAGGATCATAAATGAGGAGTTGGTCAAAATCACAGATGGCTGGCCTGGCACGGCGGCTCACACCTGTAATCCTAGCACTTGGGAAGGCTGTGGTGGGCAGATCACTTGAACCCAGTTCAACACCAGCCTGAATAGTAAGGCAAAACCCCATCTCTACAAAATAAAAAAATTAGCTTCATGTGGTGGTGTGCCTGTGATTCCAGCTACTCAGGGGGCTGAGACAGGAGGATCACTTGAGCCTGGTAGGTCTAGGCTGCAGTAAGCCGTGACCGTGGCACTGCACTCCAAGCTGGGAAACAGAGTGAGACCCCATCCCAGCACTTTGGGAGGCAGAGGAGGGAGGACCCACTTGAGCCCAGTGGGAGATGAGCCTGGGTAATATAGTGAGACTTCCATCTCTACAAAAAAGCAGGGAGTGGGAAAAGCCCACTGTGGTGGTGCACGCCTCTAGTCCCAGCTATTGGGAAGTGGAGGTGGGAGGATCACTTAAGCCCAGGAGGCAGAGGTCACGGTGAGCCGGGATTCTGCCAGCTGCACTCCAGCCTGGACAAGAGGACAAGACTTTCTCTCGGGGGAGGGGGGGGGCTGCTGTTACCGGAGGTCACTGAGAATAGGGGGTGTCTGACCAGATGCAAGTGCTGCTGGAGCAGGCAGGCTGCTGTATCGTGGGCCAGAGTGAGCAGCTGGTCCCTGCGGACGGAATCCTATATGCAGCCAGAGATGTGACAGCCACCGTGGACAGCCTGCCACTCATCACAGGTGACCTGATCCATGGCCTGCTTCTGCATGTTACGGGCCCCTGACCTCTGACCTCAGTCAGGGTCCTCTTAGTTCACTTGTTAGGAGTCACCTGACTGCCTGCACCCTCCCCCCCCCATCACAAGATGCCTGACCACTACCTTGTGGGGTGGCCTGATACACAACCCACTAGGTGCTGCCACCCCCATCATAAGGGACTTGACCCTCAATACTCAGGGCGCCTGACCCCAAAGTCGGCATCCCCCAAGTCTCCCAGGAAGCTCCAGGCTCTCCATTGTCTCCAATTGCCTCTGCCTCCCCACAAAGCCTCCATCCTCAGTAAGAAGGTCGTGGAGGGGCTGTCTGCTCTGGTGATAGACGTTAAGTTTGGAGGGGCCGCCGTCTTCCCCAACCAGGAGCAGGCCCGGGAGCTGGCAAGGACGCTGGTGAGTGGTGTGGCGTCTCCCTGGGGGTGCGTCTTGATGTGGATCCAGCCTACCCGTCACCCTTCCGTCCCCACTGCCTCCCTCCTCTCAGCAGCCCTGCCTGACCCCAAACCCACCGTTTCCTGCCCGAAGTCCCTCCCTCTCTGATGGCCCCAGAACCTCCTGTCCCTTCCCCAGGCCCAGGCACAAGGTCCTCCTGGCCCCAGGTCGAGGTGTGGCACTTCCCTCGCTTCTGTTCCCCACCCCAATCCTTTCCTGATTTCATCCTGGGGGGCTGGCAACCCCCAGGGTGAAAAGTGCAGAGGGGCTGGAGTTCGATGAAGAACGGGCTGCAGGAGGCCCCGCTATGTAGGGTCCACGCTGAGCCTCTCTCCACAGGTTGGCGTGGGAGCAGACCTGGGGCTTCGGGTCGCGGCAGCGCTGACCGCCATGGACAAGCCCCTGGGCCGCTGCGTGGGCAACGCCCTGGAGGTGGAGGAGGCGCTGCTCTGCATGGATGGCGCAGGCCCGTCGGACCTAAGGGACCTGGTCACCAGGCTCGGTGAGAACTAGGAGCTGGGAATGGGGCTTCTCGCCGGGGCCGCCCCCGCCCGGCCACACCTAAACTCCGTCCCCGCCCACAGGGGGCGCCCTGCTCTGGCTCAGCGGACACGCCGCGACCCAGGCCCAAGGCGCTGCCCGGGTGGCCGCGGCGCTGGACGACGGCTCGGCCCTTGGCCGCTTCGAGCTGATGCTGGCGGCGCAGGGCGTGGATCCCAGCCTGGCCCGAGCCCTGTGCTCCGGGAGCCCCGCACAGCGCCGGCAGCTGCTGCCCCGCGCCCGGGAACAAGAGGAGCTGCTGGCGCCCGCGGATGGTGAGCGTCGAGGGAACCCCGTCATCCCGTCTCCGCCATCCCCTTCCCTTCCCGAGCCCCTGCCCTGCCCCTTCCCGAGCCCCCGCCTCTCAGGCCCTCTCCCCGCAGGCACCGTGGAGCTGGTCCGGGCACTGCCGCTGGCGCAGGTGCTGCACGAGCTCGGGGCCGGGCGCAGCCGCGCGGGGGAGCCGCTCCGCCTCGGGGTGGGCGCGGAGCTGCTGGTCGACGTGGGTCAGAAGCTAAGCCGTGGTGAGCGCCGCCCCCGCGCCGCCGACCCTGACCCCGCTCCGGCCGCGCGGCCTCTGACGCCCCTTGCCCTGCAGGGACGCCCTGGCTCCGCGTGCACCTGGACGGCCCCCCACTCAGCGGCCTGCAACGCCGCGCCCTGCAACACGCGCTCGTGCTCTCGGACCGCGCGCCCTTCACCGCCCCCTCGCCCTTCGCGGAGCTCGTCCTGCCGCCGCAACAATAAAGCTCTTTCGCCGCGAAGCCTTGTCCGTGCCTGGCGCGCCGGGGTGGAAGCCCAGGGATCCGGAGCCGCGGGGCTGGGGGCGAGGAGGGGGCGCAGGCTCGGCAAACACGTGACCTCCGGCGGGCTCCACCCGCGCACGCGTCGAGCGCCTGTCAGCAGCTGCGCCCGTCTGCGCATGCGCGCAGCTCCCGGGACGCCTACGGCCTGGCTGCGAGTGTGTGGCGCGGGGATCCTGAGCCCACGAGGAGTTCGCGGGACGGGGCGTGGGGAGTCGGAGGCCGGCGCTGCCTCCTGGGCCTGGTCCACTGACGCGCGGCGTTGCCGCGAGGTGCGGAGCGGGGCCAGGTGGGGGCGGGAGGGGAGGAGGTAACCCCGGGGACGCGCGGGGCTCCGGTTTCCCAGTTCCGGCTGCTCCGAGGGCGCGCTGGAGAGAGGGGCGAGGCTGGGGCGCCCGGAGGAGGCTCCGAGCAGGCACCGGTGTTTTCGCGGCTGAGGACAGTTCTAAGCGCTTCGTGTGGTCCTGGGACCTTTCTGGCCAAGAGGGCGCTGGTTTTGGTGGGGAAGGGACAAGGCCAGAACCGCCCGGGCGCAGTGAGTCCTCGGGAGGGTGCCCCCAGCAGGACAGGAGCAGTGACGGGGAGTCCCGAGACCTCCACGGAGCAAACCTTCCGGGGCCCGTGGAAAGGCGCTAAGGTCACCAACGCAAAGGCGGGGCGTCGGCAGTGAGCCCGGAGAAGCTGCTGGGAAGCCTGGATGTGAGGACGGTGGGGTTTTGTGGCGGGTAGAAGTGTCTGCGGGGAAGCGTTAAATACCGGAGGCGCGCAGAGTCCGAGCTCCGGCGTAGGTGGTGCAAGTTTTCTGCTGGGGGTGGGGAGGACGGCTATGGTTAACTTAGGTGGCCCGAGATGACAGGGAAGTGCTGGAGGAGTCGGTTGCTCTAGGGATTGCAAGCCAGAGTATTACCCACCTCCTTTCAATAAACGGGTTTATTGCAAATAGATAACATGGTCAGGAGTCCAGGCAGCGCAGCACTTGGAAGCTTTCAGTCAGCAAGAGGCGCACCTGCTGAGGTACAGGGCAAGGTGTGGTGAGAGGCTAGGGATCCCAGGTGGAGGACCGGAGCGACAGGTGTGGATGTTTGGTGGCGTTCTGAGCTCTGGTGAGCAGTGAACGTGGGCTGGGTCCTTCAGATGAGTGGCTGGTCTCGCGTTGCAGGGACAGCCCAGGTACCATCTTGGGCCTTCCTTTCTGGCTGCTGATGCCTGTTTGTTTCCAGGAGCATCAGATCCATGCTGCTGCTGACTCGGGGCCCCATGGCTTGGCACAGGCTCTCTCGGCTCAAGCCCCCAGCCCTCCCTGGGACCCTGGGAGGCCAGGCCCTGCATTTGAGGTCCTGGCTTTTGTCAAGGCAGGGCCCGGCAGAGACAGGTGGGCAGGGCCAGCGCCAGGGCCCTAGGCTTCAAACCAGGCTGCTGATCACAGCCGTGTTCGGAGCTGGACTGGGTGGGGTCTGGCTGGCCCTGAGGACTGAGAAGGAGAGGCTGCGGCAGCAACAGCGAATGGAAGCCCTGCGCCAGGCAGCTGTGGGCCAGGGCGACTTCTGCCTGCTGGACCATAAAGGCCAGGCTCGCTGCAAGGCTGACTTCCGGGGCCAGTGGGTGCTAATGTACTTTGGCTTCACTCACTGCCCTGACATCTGCCCGGATGAGCTGGAGAAGCTGGTGCAGGTGGTGCAGCTGCTGGAAGCAGAGCCTGCTTTGCCTGCAGTGCAGCCTGTCTTCATCACTGTGGACCCCGAGCGGGACGATGTCAAAGCCATGGCCCGCTATGTCCAGGACTTCCACCCAAGGCTGCTGGGTCTGACAGGCTCCACCGAGCAGGTTGCCCAGGCTAGTCACAGTTACCGCGTGTATTACAGCGCTGGCCCCAAGGACGAGGACCAGGACTACATTGTGGACCACTCCATTGCCATCTACCTGCTCAACCCTGACGGACTCTTCACCGATTACTATGGCCGGAGCAGGTCGGCTGAGCAGATTGCAGACAGCGTGCGGCGGCACATGGCAGCTTTCCGCAGCATCCTGCCTTGAGCCACTGTGGCCTGGGCCCCATCATTAAACGGGGTACCTTTAATCTGCACATGTGTGATCTGTACCAGCAGCCCATGGGGGCCGGACAGCCCTCTTCTCTGCACAGACTAGGTGTATGCAAAGTGGCTTTTAGGGGGAAGACGAGATGGCAACACTGCTTTATTAGTCTGTGCCAGCCAGGAAGCAACACTGGAGTTAGCAGACACACGGCTCCTCATACACATCCCCCCGCCCCTGCCTCGGTGCTCTCCACTCAGGGTTGGGCCATGGAGGGGGCAGCGTAGGTCTGGAAAGGCTTGTGCGCTCGCTGGTATGTGAGCAGTCTCAGGGACATGGTGTCCACAGCTGTCTCCAGCCCCGGCTGCTGAGTGATCTCTACTGTGTAGTCGTTGGCCTGCAGGGGTGGGGTGTCAGCAGGGTCTGAGACCATTTCCCCTTCCCACGAATCCCGGCTACTCACCAGCTGCAGGGAGGCCAACATGGAACGGCACACCTCGAAGGCCGGCTGGCCAGCCACCATCTCCGCAAAGGGACACCACACATTGAGTTGGGGGAACCGTGAGACTACCTGGTCCCCATAGGTGTGGATGTCAAAGGGCACGTGTTGCTCCTGCACAGGGGAGGGGCATGTTGGCTGCAGAGAGAGGCAGAGGCTGGCAGCAGGCAGCTCGAGTTCCCAGCGGCCCCACCTCACCTGCTCCTGGAGCAGAGGCTGCACAGTATCCTCCCAGTCCCTGATGCGCTGGCTCAGCTCTGTCTCCTGGACAAACTTCTGGGAGCTGGCGATGAAGAGCTCCTAGGGGAGGGTCAGCAGGAGCTACTGCCTCCTAAGCAGGGGCCTGGGTGCCTCTCACATACCCCACCCCCTCTAACCCAAGCCTACCACATTCCTTCGAACCAGCTCCTCGTAACTCAGGGACACCGGCACTGCGTCTGGGAAGGGACAGCTGTGAGCTGAGCGGCCAAGGGGCCACACTCCCCTGCCCCCAGCTCCAGTGGCCCCTCAGCACTCCTAGCCCGCTGCCCACCTACCAAGGTCAGCAGCTTCTTTGGGGTCTGCTCCCTCCGGCTCCACACACTCCTCAGACTCTAGAAGGTCATCTGCTGGGAGGTGGGAGAGTGAACAGCACACAGGCAGCAAGTCAGCTGCACAGGTGCTGAGCCCCGTTCTACCCCACCCCTGGCAGGCACACACCTGCTGCCCCCAGGTCTTCCAAGGAATCCTCCAGGTGGTCGTCCTCTGCAGGCCACAGCTCCTCCTCAGCCCTTGGCAGCCACTGCTCAGCCACCTGTCCAGAGAAAGCATCTGTGAGGGACACTGTCATCTCCCATCAGGGCCACCACAGGGTCCTAGATCACAGCTGAGCAGTTGGGACTTGCCTCCCTCCTCTGCAGCTTCCGGAGAGTTACCAGCTGCTCCTTCACGTGTGTCCAGTACAGGACTTCCATGTCTGCAGACAAAGGCCTTCTGAGGGTTCCCTCATCCTTCCCAGGCCCCGTACCAGTCCATCCAAGGCTTTGGGTGACACCAGGTGGGGGTAGCGATAGGGGATGGAGAGTAAAACTGTCGTCCCTGAGGACCTCAGCCTCACCTGCAAAGGACGGGCCCTTTCGCCGGGATCGCCTGCTGTCGGCATGGTCAGCATCTGTGAAAGAACACGGTCAGCACAACTAGGCCAAGAGCTGCCCACGGCATTGGGGATCCTCTTCCACAGGCCCTGGCCCAGCTCCCAGGGACCCAGAGTGCCCACCACACCCACTCACAGGCTGCCAGGTACCACTGGTGGAAGTCTTGCAGCTTGGCAGCACCCTTCCTCTTGCGCTTCTGTCCTGGAGCCTCCTCCACACAGGGGGGCACAGAGTAAGGCCTACCTGGGGGCAAACGGACTGTCTTGGAGCCGCCGTGGGATCAGGCTGCAGAGCCCACTCCCATGCCCCTACCTCATGTCCCAGCCAGGTATGATACCTGAGTGGAGGTATCCTCCACCCAATTACCTTTCTTGAAGGGCTTAGAGTCCAAGGAGTCAAAGGGGTCCAGGCTCTGCCAGGGGTCTGGAGTCTCCTGGGCACAGAGCACAAGCAGGCGCTGGGGGAGTTGGGGGTGCACAGCCGTCCCTCCCAAAGCCCAGACAAGTACAGTGACAGCCTGGGGTAGGGCCAATCACACTCAAACCCTGGATCACAGAGGGGAACATTCAAGGGAGGGAAGGAGGGAGCCCAGAGCCGCATGAGGGAGTCTTTAAGAGAGCAAGTGCAAAAGGCCACAGGCTGGGAACACTGCAGGGCAGCAGGAGCAAGGGCACGATGGGAGGGCAGCCAGTCCTCAAATCCACCTGGACCCCCTTGACAGGGCCAGGGCCCCAACACTCCTACCTTCACGTGGGACGCAGGCTCTGGGGCCCTCTCTCGCTCCCGCAGCATGTACCTCCTGGGCAGGGCAGCATTCTACAAAGACAGTCACAGAATCCCCACTTCTCCCCTTTTCTTTTCTTTTCTTTTTTTTTTGAGACGGAGTTTCGCGTTATTGCCCAGGCTGCAGTGCAGTGGCACGATCTCAGCTCACTGCAACCTCCGCCTCTCGGGTTGAGCCCCCCGTAGCTGGGACTACAGGTGCACGCCACCACGCCCAGCTGATTTTTTGTATTTTTAGTAGAGACAGGGTTTCACTGTGTTAGCCAAATGGTCTTGATCTCCTGACCTTGTGATCTGCCTGTCTCAGCCTCCCAAAGTGCCGGGATTACAGGCGTGAGCTCATTTCTCCCCTTTCTCCACTCAAGGCTCTGGGTACCCCAGAACTCCAGCTTGGGTCAACATCAAGAACCCCACAGGCGACAGTCACAGCAGCTCACGCCTGTAATTTCAGCAGTTTGGGAGGCCAAGGCAGGTGGATCACCTGAAGTCAGAAGTTTGAGACCAGCCTGGCCAACATAGTAAAACCCCATCTCTACTAAAAATACAAAAAAAGGCCGGGCGCGGTGGCTCAAGCCTGTAATCCCAGCACTTTGGGAGGCCGAGGCGGGTGGATCACGAGGTCAAGATATTGAGACCATCCTGGTCAACATGGTGAAACCCCGTCTCTACTAAAGATACAAAAAATTAGCTGGGCATGGTGGCGTGTGCCTGTAATCCCAGCTACTCAGGAGGCTGAGGCAGGAGAATTGCCTGAACCCAGGAGGCGGAGGTTGCGGTGAGCCGAGATCGTGCCATTGCACTCCAGCCTGGGTAACAAGAGCAAAACTCCGCCTCAAAAAAAAAAAAAAAAAAAATTTAGCCAGGCATGGTGGCCTACACCTGTAGTCCCACCTACTCAGGAGGTTGAGGCAGGAGAATTGCTTGAACCCAGGAGACTGAGGTTGCAGTGAGCTGAGATCACACCACTGCACTCCAGCCTGGTCGACAGAACAAGACTCCGTCTCAAAAAAAAAACAAAAAAACAAACCTACAGGGGCCAGACATAGTAGTTGGTACCTATAATGCCAGCATTTTGGGAGGCCAAGGCAGGAGGATCACTTGAACTCAGGAATTCAAGACCAGCTTGGGGGCCGGGCACAGTGGCTCACGCCTGTAATGCCAGCACTTTGGGAGGCCGAGGCGGGCCGATCACGAAGTCAAGAGATCGAGACCATCCTGGTCAACATGGTGAAACCCCATCTCTACTAAAAATACAAAAAAATTAGCTGGGCATGGTGGTGTGTGCCTGTAATCCCAGCTACTCGGGAGGCTGAGGCAGGAGAATTGCCTGAACCCAGGAGGCAGAGGTTGCGGTGAGCCGAGATCATGCCATTGCACTCCAGCCTGGGTAACGAGCAAAACTCCGCCTCAAAAAAAAAAAAAAAAAAACCAGCTGGGGCAACATAGTGAGACCCCCCCCGTCTCTACAAAAAAATACAAAAATTAGCCAGGTATGGTGTCACACATCTGTAGTCCCAGCCACTCGGGAGACTGAGGTGGAAGGAACACCTGAGCCTGGGAAGGGGAGGTCAAGACGGCAGTGAGCCAAGATCAGGCCACTATACTCCAGCCTGGGCAACAGAGCAAAACCCTGTCTCAAAAACAAAACAAAAAAGACCCTGCTTGTACTCTCTTGGATCATTAAAAACCCTAAGAAAAACTTTAAAACACACACACACACAGTGGTCATGGGGTACTCTTTCAAAAATAGGAAAAACATCAATTATGACAAACATCCATGTTATCTACCAATTTTAAAGTTAAGAAATGTTAACATTTCCTCCTGTAGGCATCAGGTTGATTGTCTTTTTTAATGAATAAAAAGGAAGAATTTCTTCCTTCTAGGCTGGATAGAGTTGCCCCTGGGGGTGGAGGGAGGCAGCAAAGGCCTCCAGACACCCCCTCCTACCAGCCCAACTACAGAAGAGGCGCCTTGGCAACCAGTGGCCATCCCAGCTAGCTGTGAGCTCAACAGAGCTCAAACCCCTGGGCGCCAGTCCACTATCTGAGGAGCGCCAGTTCTGATCAGAGACGGGAGGAACACAGAAGCTGCTGTTCAAAAGGGCTGCTTGCAGAACGGGCTGCAAGACGGGCAGGCTTCTGCCCAAGACCAGCGGCCTGGGGCCAAGGCTCTAGCACTGTCCTCCTTGTGCAAGGTGACTCAGCCCCAGAGCCAGGGTCACCTGGTTCACAGCTCAGGCTCTGCAGGCCGCCGTGTGGGTCCCACCTGCTGCAGACTCCTGGGCTCCTCGGGCTCCAGAGCGGCCTTGGGGGCCGAGGCCTCAGGAAGCTCTACTGCCTCCTCTGCGTCCTCATCCTCACCCCCGCCCAGGGGCATCGGGCTTTCTGGAGAGGGGCCTGGGCAGGGAGCAAGAGAATGATCAGCTCCAAGGAGTGTCAAGACCAGATGGCACCAAAGGGACCCTGATGGCCACTCCTTCCTCTCAGCTTTGGTCACTGGAACCCAGAGGATTCAGTGGGTGCCTTGCACCCTCCTCGTCATGCTAGTATGCTCTGCTTGGATGATTTCATTTCTTAGCAAATGTTCCTCTTTAAATGCAGTCATCCACATCCGCCCAGAGAGGAGACCCA